CCCGCGTCCCCCCCCCCCCCCCCCCCCCCCCCCCCCCATGACTGATCCTCCACCTACAAGCAGCAGGGCTATGTCGTTGCCTCTGGGTGCCACTCAGAGACAGATAAGGAGCCTGCTGGCCCTACTTCAACCAGGTTATAAACTGGACTTTCCAAGAAGATCAGAAATGCTGATTTATACAACTACAGCTTTTACTCCACTCGCAAACTTCCTCAGACCAAGTAGCACATCGCAACCTCACAGCCTCCACTGGCCACAGCGCTCCACTACCGATAAATGGAAGCTGCAGGAGCAGTGTCTGCAGGCAAGGACAGCACATGGAGACCCCCACCAGGTTATAAACTGGACTTTCCAAGAAGATCAGAAATGCTGATTTATACAACTACAGCTTTTACTCCACTCGCAAACTTCCTCAGACCAAGTAGCACATCGCAACCTCACAGCCTCCACTGGCCACAGCGCTCCACTACCGATAAATGGAAGCTGCAGGAGCAGTGTCTGCAGGCAAGGACAGCACATGGAGACCCCCTTTGCTGACCCTCCCAGAGGCTGCAAGGACATGCCGGCCACCTCCAGGACCACAACCACCAGCAGGACAATTACTCGGGACAGGACAGGTTAGGCTTTTTAGAACTCACTTCATGGTTTTGAAAAGGATAAACTATGAATTAATAACACATCTAATATTACTTTTTAACGTGCATGAAACACAAATCCCACCAATAAGCAGAGTAAAGGAATCTGAGTAGGCCACCATAATCTGTAATTATCATATGAGTTCAAGTTTGATATTCTCCCCAATGACAAAATTACAAACTGATGAAAAATGCTATGGTGCCCACATCTTACAATTCCAAGTCCTAATGTATGATAACTAGGTGTTGATTGATGACAGGTTTCAGAGAGGTAGCTGCGTTAGTCTGTTTCACCAAAAACAAGGACTCCGATGGCACATTAAAGACTGACAATTTTATTATGGCATAAGATTTTGAAAGCTGCAACTCACCAAAGCTTATTCCATAATAAAATTCTTAGGTTTGAAGGTGCCACCGGACTTTGTTGCTTTTGGTGTTGTTTGCCACTATCTTGAACACAGTTTGCACAAACCATTTTATTGTGTATACTTTAAACATCCAGCGTCAATCTCTAACTTTTGCTTGAGGCCATTTGAAAACCAAAAACTGTGTTTAGTACTTACTCTGAAATTTTCTGAGATTGATGAGGCCATGGTCTCTTATAATTCTATAATTAAAAAAGAACTAGTAGTAAATACTAAGTAACTCATTTATTAATGCATAAATACAAACACCAAAGGAGTTCTGGTAACATTTATACTATTTTACCCAGGTTCTAATTCTGTATAAACAGGGTATACATGATATTTTATAAACAATTAGTCAGTATAAGTTTGGGATAGTTATCACGAGTCTAACCAGCAGGGCTCAAAGAGAGCTATAACGTCTTAAAAGGATCTAAAATATCTTTTCTACACACAAGCATGATGTCTCTTTAATGTCTTATGTCTTGCCCATCCAAGGCTAAAGCAAGTTACATACTTGAGAGTGGGAGAAGGAAACATTCCTCAGCTAGCTTGATTTTCAAAATAAGAAAACAAGATGGTTGTTTTAAAGCCACTCAAAAGTTTGGAATGTTAAAAGAAGCCCAAGGAAATGAGTTAAAGGGCAGAACAGAGGTGAGAGTGCATGATAAATACATTTCTCACAAGGCTCTGCAATTATCACATGGACATTGGCTCTGTGTGGTTAACTGTATATGCACACAGCTTTTGTGAGAGACACTCAAAAAGTGAGCGAACTTTGTTAGGCAAGATTGTGGCTAAACTTTAATCTGTGAAACTTTATTACTTCCTCTGTCTATCTACATAAACTCCATAGGTGAGTTTTTTTCCATCCCAAATAAAATAGGATTTAATAGGCTTTGCGACGGTGACATTAGCAGTTGTATGTCTTTCAGGGTTTTGTCCTGCTTGGTCTATTGTCCTGCTTGGTCTATTAAAACTTAATTGCCACTGACACCAGTGTGAGTTACGCAACTATAAGGGTTTAGACTTGTTTTTTAATATGACACGTAGTGTATCATTATGTAGCTAATACCACATATAAATATTTTTTTAATTGGAAGGACACGTTAACCAAGTCAGTCTTTCCTTTCAACTATAGTTCAAAACAACATGTTGTGTTGACCTTTTATTCTGGGAAAAGGGATGGACAAGTCTTGCTTCAAAGTTGTTAATCTTTGCCCCAGCAGTAAAAGAGCAGGAGGAATAACTTACAAAAACGGGACAAAGTATCTGAAAGAGTGCAAAATTCAAAAAAATGAACAGATTCAATGAGATTCTAAAGAGTCATAAAATTTGTTGAATGAAGCATTCAAACTTTATTTAACCACTCATATTAGCAACAGAATTATCTGTAATGTGTCCCCTCAGAAACTTAGGAAAAGAAGCTTTAGTGTACTAAACCTCATAATATCAGCATGTCTCTGAAAACGGATTGGGTTAAGTAAGAGACTGGGAGTAGGACCTCCTAAACCAGAATCAAAGTACACAGGGCCTGGCAGCATGGTGATTAGAGAAGGATGCTAATTAGGACTGCTGGGTTCTACATCTCAGTACCACATTCTACGAAAAGGTTCTGTCACAGAGATGTTGAAGGATTAATTATACATAAATTACTCTGAAATGCTTGTATTGAAAATACTCTACTGGTGAAACTCACCACTGTGCATTTGGGGAGCACGAGGCCTATATGTCATTTCTGCTTTGTTTTGACAGTTTAAATGGAAGCTTAAGGTATATAGATCCTTTGTCAAGGGGAATTTCAACAATATGTGCAAATTAGTTCTATTGTGAGTGAATCTACATACTTCCTGGTCTGCTGAACTATAAAATTCTCTTGCTTAGATCCATGTTGCTGATCTGTATTTTTTGCATGTAGGCAGAGCTGAGATCTGCTCTAACAGAAGGGTTTTTTTGTGTATTAAGTTTTTAGGATCCTTCTGGAAAGTGCTAGTTAAAATCAATTACACTGAATATCAGGATAGTGTTATTGCACATATTGAGTACTGAAGCAGTGGATGACAATCACTGGTTAAGAACTCACTTTTTTCTCCGCTGCCTCTCCTTTAACCTGGAGTGATAGATATCTACAACTGCAATCTTCAAAGCTGCCAAGTATAGAAAGGAAGACCAGAAAAACAGATTAATCACGTATGAGATTATCACACCAGGTTTCTCCCTAAATCCCCCAGCAACCTGTGTTCATCACAGCTTGAAAAGGCTCACTTCACTTGCACAAAGCAAACCCACTGTCTTTGCATCGAGATGTTAAAAATCCCAAACTACTAAACCAGTGGTCCCCAATGCGGTGCCCGCCGGGGCACTTATGTGCCCCCGCTGAGTGCCGGCTCTAGGCACCAGCAAACCAAGCACGTGCTTGGTGCGGCACATTGCCAGGGGCGGCTGGAGTGCCACCCCTGAGAGACACTGTCTGGAAAAATGAATTCCTAACCCTTACCGCCTGATGCTGCCCAAGGCAACGGGCGGGGTGGCAGAGTGTGCGATGGGCCAGCAGCGAACCACCCTCGGCAGGTGGGGTGCATGGGGCAAGTCATGCTCGCAGCCCCACCATGACTGGCTGAGGCGCCATGACATCATAGTTCCAGGGCTGCCTCGCTGCCTTTCTTCGGCACCAGGGAGAAAAGTGCGCCCTCTAGTTAGTGCGGGAGGGCGTCGCGGCAGAGCAGCCCTGGCAGGAGCTCTGGCCACACACCGCTCCAGTCACCTTCCCGGTGCAGCTTCCGGTGCCCAGCACCCAGCGGCCGTGGAGCGGGAAATGCCCAAGGGAGCCTCCCATCCATGAAGCAGACGTGCCCAGGGATAGATCGTTCGCGCTCCTCTGACTGGCACCCGCCAGCACAGCCTCACAGGCAGGGGGGACCATGGGCTTTGAGAACAGCAGCAGCACCGGAGAGCTACAGCCCTGGGGGGTGAGCTACTCTCCCCGGGCTGTGCAGGGCAGGCTGAACAGAGAGATCTGGGGCTGGGCAAGGGGCAGCCCAGGTCACTGCAGCCAGGGACCACGCTGCAAGCCAGGTGCCTTTGGTCATCTCTCCGCCTGCCTTGCGCTTACTAGTGACCCCTCTAGCCAGAGCGGGCACCGTTGGCCAAGGAGTTTTCAGGAGTGTGTGTGTGGGGAGGGGGGGTAGTGCACACTGGCAAATGGGGGGCGACTCTCCCCCTTTTCTCTGCCTCACTGCTGGTCGGAGGGAGGGGAGAGCTGCAGCCTTGGGGGGGCCGGACAGAAGGAAGGCCCTGCCCAGGCCAGGGTGATTCAAGCAGAGGTGCCTAGGCTGGGGGGAGGGGAGAGCTACTTTGCAGCCCGATCTGGTTGGTCTGGCGGTGAGGAGCCGCTGGAGGGGGCCTCGCCTGCCCCAGCTCAGAGATTTGGGGGGGCAGGGAGGGAGAGAGGTGTCCGCTGGCCTTGTCCTTTATTTTTCCTGGCTGTGTCCGCGCACATTCCCTGGGGGACCCATGCCACTTTCACGCCTCTGCCAGGGCGCTCCGAAGTTTCTGCACATGCTGGGAGGAGGGGACACGAGGGTTTGGCGGGGAGAGGGAAAGGAGATGGAGTTCGGTCAGTGGGGGCGCGCATCCCCAGGGGGACCCGTGACACTTTCACCCCTCCCGCGGGGTGCTCAGACTTTTCCGTACGTGCTGGGAGGAGGGGACATGAGAGTTTGGTGAGGAGCAAGAAAGGAGACGGAGTTCGTTCAGTGGGGGCAACTGGGAGAGGAGAGCGGACTGGGTCCGGTGGGGATGGGAGGGGAGGGGAGAGGAGTGATCGGGTTTGGCTGGGAGGAAAAAGAGGGCACAGGGTGGATCACGTGGAGGACAAAACGGGGGCAGACTGCGTCTGGTAACTGAGGGGTAGAGTTTGCCTGGGAGGGGAGGTGGAAACTGAGTTTGGTGAGTGGGTGGGAGGGGTCAGGATGCGTGTGTGGACGGGGATGTGTGTGGAGCGGAGACAAGACGTAGGCTGGATTTGGCTGGAAGGCGTGATGGGAGTCAAAGAGCTGCAAGGTGAAAGAGGTGCCTTCCTCCTCGGTGCCTGTCCTGTAGCAGCGTGTGAGGGGGTGGACAAATTTTTTTGCTTGGGGCGGTAAAAAACCTAGAGCCGGCCCTGCACGCAATGCACGCATGGCCTCACCCCCAGACGTGTGGTGTACGCATGGCCCCGCCCCCAGGCAACCCCACCCTCAGGCGCCCGGCAGCCCCAAAAGGTTGGGGACCACTGTACTAAACTGTGCAGCAGCATAAAGTTTGGCTAGGTTTGTGCATATTGCACATCAACATTCCCTCTAATCTTTTCCATACATGTGTGGATTTTTTCCTTGCATGTGCAGAAAAACTTCTATGTGCACCAAGGCATGTCTGAATGCGCACCACAAATAACCTAGCTGTGGATGCTCTGCTCATCAGCTGGGCAGCATTTGAATGTCTCTTGAATGGCCGCGCACATGCACAGTTTACAGGGAACACCGTTTGCTGTACACACCTTTTTGTAAAACTGATTTCACATATTTTTCCTATGCTATCACACACGAGTATGGATAAATATATGGAGATACACCTATCTCATAGAGCTGGAAGGGACCTTGAGAGGTTACTGAGTCCAGTCCCCTGCCCTCACAGCAAGACCAAGTACCATCTGTGATAGATTTGCCCCAGATCCCTAAATGGCCTCCTCAAGGATTGAACTCACAACCCTGGGTTTAGGAGGCCTATGCTCAAACAACTGAGCATTGGCTCCCCCACAATTTTCCAGACCCAATTTTCCATTCCCTCTCCCAAAGTTACATTTTAAAATTGTTTTGTTTTTCACATTTTTCATTTTGCCCTTTATAAGTTCCCGAAAAGTAAATGGTTAGGCTTAATGTTTGATGTGACATCTTTTGGACAAGGACTAACCTGCAAAGAAATAAGGAAAGGGATTAAAAGAATTTCAAGAACCTAAAAAAAAATGTGAGATCTGAATTGAGACTATTCAGGGTAGAATTTGCTGAGACTCACAGAAATCACCTAGCACTTTTTAGCTAGTTTGTTGTTGTTGTATTTTGCTATCAGTCAAAAGAAACCCATGAAGGCAATTCTCAGGAATTATGGAGAACACTTTCTTGTGGTTAGAAACTATTTTTTTATATATGGAATGATCTACAATTCTTCTGGCTAATCCACCTATAAATTCTGTACTCATTTTCACTGATACACTGAGGCTAATACATTTTTTTGGTACACTCTCTGGATAAAGTAGATAAGGAGACACTCACCTCTTCTTCTAGGACTAGCTTCCTATTTCTGTTAAGTATTTCAAAAAGACCCATCTTCCTAAATAAGCCTTGTGTGCGTTGATTTCTGGACTGGATTTTTCTTTAAGCGTTACTTATTTTTAAATTTTCCCAGAGGGCTTGTCTACACTACAAAGAAGATTGAAGCTGCTGAAGTCAATCTTCTGGTGCTCAAATTAGCAGGTCTAGTGAAGGCAAGCTAATTTGAATTGAGAGGGTGCTTCTGTTGGTGCCAGCAGACCTGCTCCTATGAGAAGTAAGGGAAGTCGAAGGGAGAGCAGGCCAATTTTGCGATTTAAGATAGTCTGACTCCAGCTACATAATTAACATAGCCGGAGTTGTGTATCTAAATTTGAACGTATCTCCTAGTGTAGACCTAGCCAGAAAGAACATTCTTATCATTCCATGATAGATTTGCAATTTGCAGAGACAACATGCAAATCTCTGAAATCAAGCAGGAGCATTTCTCCCTCTACCTAAATACGTTGCTCAAACAGGTGTATCCAAAATGTAGACGAGTCCAGCAACATGTATGACTAGTGCCCTGTCTCTTACTCCAGGACAAGGACAAATTTAATCAACTGTAATTTATTAATGGAGAGTCAAATCGATTGCCAATTAATCTAACAAGGAAGAGGCAGGCTGTAGTAAGAATGGGTGTGTGAATTTACTTTGTTTTAAACTGTACCATATGTATATTTATGTGGAAATCACACATGACCTGTAATCTTCGGGCAGGGTGCTAGTGTAGCCTGCTGTGCCATAAGGTTTTAGCTGTCCCTCTCTGTAGGAAACAGACATGGTAAAATATGAGCTGAGAGAAGTCACTTCTCAGTTACATGTGATTTTTTAAAAATTTATCTTCACAATAATACTGTATTTTTACTTATGTGAACACTGTCTGCCACACTAAAGTTTCGAAGTCTTAGAATCCTTATCTGATACAGAACAGGGATGCAAAAGATAAACTAAATCACAGTGACACAGAAGCTAAAATTTCATTGTTCTTTTTTAACATGGGAAGACCTGGCATATATTTAAATATAGATTTGCTTGGGTCTCCTAGCCCAGAAACAAGTTCCCTATACCTTGCTTAGATTTAGGAAGAGAAGAATGAGAAATGCAGTAAGTTACATATGAATGAAATGCCTTACGAAGCACAAGAATCACTGTCAATGTATATAAAACCTTTGTATTTTTTAAGATTTCTATCAGCTATGCTGCCATATTATTTTCTGGGATTTGTGTGGGAAGAACTTTGAGTAGACAGAAATTGCATTGGAGAAACACTACAAATACCATGAGTAATTAGTCACCTACAATTGGAGGATCGTATTTCTAATACTTTCACTTGAGTTTAAAATGTCTGGAAATAAATTAGTAGGGGAGAAGACATTTACTAAAGCAAATGAAGGAAAAGGGGAATCCTCCACAGAGAGAACATTCATATTCGTTGCAGTCTTCTCTTTTTCTTTACTGAGAGTCACACAGAAGTAACTGATTATAAGATCTAGAACGCGTGAATAACCCAGACTTACTACTGTGCTACATGCTGTAGGGCAATGATAAAAGGGAT